CAGAGAAAAAGAGGAAGACCCCCAGTGACATGGATCAGCCAGGTGGCATCATTGATGGACTCGGGTGTGGCAGCGGTAGTGAGGTTGGCCCAGGATCGGACATTGTTTAGTTCTGCTGTGCATGGGGTCGCTATGAGTCAGTTCCAACTCGATGGCACCTGACAACAACAACAACAACAACAACAACATTGGAGGCAAAAAATATCTTTCCCATGAGACTATAGCACCTGGTTTGTTTAGTTGTTGTTAAGTACCGAGGAGTAAGTTCGGACTCATAGTGACCCTGCACAGGGTTTCTGAGGCTGTAAATGTTTATGGGAACAGAAAGCCTCATCTTTCTCTGGCAGAATAGCTGATAGTTTTGAACTGCCACCCTTGAGGTTAGCAGCCCGATTCGTAACCACTATGCTACCAGAGTTTAGTAGGAAACTTTTTTTTTTTTCTTCTTTCTAAAGAAAATCTTACTTGAGATGAAACAAAGTGTATGATTTATTGAATGTAAAACTGTTAATCAGATCTGTAAACCTTTACTAATTCTCAATAAAAAGTTTCAAATAAACAAGAAAACACTGCATCCCATCAATATTTGTTCCATCTATTAGTAATTTATCCGTTCAGCATATGTGTACAAGGGGGCTTCAAAAATTTTGTGAAAAAATTCCATTATCTTTTAACTCCATTTTTTCATGAAATTTAAGCCTCCTCATATACAATTAAAATAAAAGTTGCTGTCAAGTGGAATCGATTCCAGCTCATAGTGACCCCAGATGTGTCCTGCAGCACAGAGGCCTGTCAGTGGTTGTGATCTTTCAGAACTAGATCACCAGCCCTTTCGCCTGGCTTTTTGTGCCTCAGGATGAATTCAAACTGCCAACTTTTTGGGTAGTAGCTGAACTGCTTAACCCTATGTGCTACCTAGGGATTCCATTCATAAGTTGTTGTTATTGTTGTTGTTAAGTGCCTTCAAATCAGTTCCGACTCAGAGTGATCTTGTACAGGGTTTCAGAGGAGCAGATGGTGGGTTTGAACCGCCAACTTGGCAGTTAGCAGCCCAATGTTTACCCTATAGCACCACGTCAGGACTTCTCATATTTATGAGGGGGCTTCAAGATTCATGGAATTAAAAGTTTATTTTAATTATTGTCCATATTCTACTTAGTAAATATATACATATGCATATATATTCATTTCTCTTGTGATACTGGTTTAGAAGAAAAGGCTGCAGACTGTGTTGAAATCTCCTTAACATTCTTACCTGGTAGGTAGCCTCTGGCCTTTCAAGCTGTTTCCACATGAGCGGTGCCACACCTCTACAAAGATAGTCAGGCAGTTGAACACTGTTTTGGATGCTGTGTGGCTTTGCCAGAAGCCTGTTGCCAAGGAATGTGTTTATGGTTTAAGATCCAAGGGCTGGTGACTGGCAGGCCTCTTGAGAACATGGTTTCTTCTCTTCTCATTCTCACCTCTGTCCTTCGCTGCTTCCAGGAAGATCTGTCAGCACTGCAAGTGTGCACAGGAGGAGCACATGGTGACGGTGATGCCACTGGAGATGGAGAAGACGGTCAGCAAACTCATGTTTGACTTCCAGAGAAATTCCACCTCAGATGATGACTCGGGCTGCGCCTTAGAAGAGTATGCCTGGGTCCCGCCGGGCCTGAAGCCTGAACAGGTATAGTTTTTGAAGTGAGGGTGATTGTGGTTTTGGCTTTACCTCTGTCTTGCCAGTCCTTCCTCATTCCAGTATAAAAGAAAAAGTTAACTTTGCTGATTCAGAGAGTGGTTGGGCCTTAGTGGGTAAACGACGTTGGGCCCTAATGGAAAATGGGAAAGAGAAATGAAACAGTGTTGAATGGCCCATTGCTGACTCCTTCTGTGTTGCTATTACTACCTGTAACAGAGGATTGTCTAAAAAACTTCTTAGGAACTTTGGCTCTGAAACATTACTCAGCAAAGCTGTATATCTGGGCATAATGCAGAGCTCTACTTTGACCAGGAATCTTAATGTGATGATTCTTTGAAAAGGAGAGTGAAGAAATGTGGATTTGCTTTATTCTTCTTGGTGATATCTACTATGCCTAAATATGAAGTTTGATCTTACTTTACAAAGAGAGACATAGGCATTTCTTGAAATATTCTGGCACTACCCAGAGGCTGTAAATATTATTGACTTGATTAGAAGGACTTGGCTTCTTTCTGTTTTTACGGCATTTTTATCAGTGATATACAGCTTCTGCTTTGCATTTTTTGATTGTTGGAATGTTTTCTTCTGCCAGCCCCCACGTTGGTTTAGAAGCAGCTTCTGTAAAGCTGGGTATTTTTATAATCTTTCCTCTGAGCCTTTGAGAGACAGCAGAACCTTAAGCTTTTGACCCACAATTGCCTTTCTCTGACACATAAAATTTATTTCTCTGGAGATCTCTTATCTATCTGACAGGGTGTTTTGAAGCTTAAACAGTCATGGCATTTTCAGTCAAAAATATTAGGTGTGATAATGCTCTTAGAAAAAAGCACTTTATAATTAAAGATGACCCACAGAATTACTAATGACTTACGAGTAGTAACCCTGATATCTTTTTGATGAGCCTTTTCTCATTTTCTTCTTCCAGTATGGAGGTTGCAAGTTGGCAGATGAAATGGGGCACACTGGTTGGATCAGTTTATCCAGTGATGTATTTTTTTTAATTGCATTTTTCTACTGATATTTGAAAACTAAGGATTTTCTTTTTTTAAATGTTGCATTTATATCTTGAAAATGTTGAGGACCCGGTAACGCTGGAGTATTATTTCTGTAAGGATGGAATCAGCTGAAGCGGAGTGCTGACAGTTCCTTTGAGAATGTATTGGATCTTAGCAAGTGGCTTAGTCCGCAAGATACCATCTTTTTCCATATACACCACCTTCATAAGCCCTATACACATTTCAGTATTGTGATCCCTCTTCTAATTCTTACTGCTTAGAAAATATCTTATAGTAGAAACATTCACAGAAAATTCTCCAGGAGAATTGAGGGTGGAGCTCAGTATTGAGATATTATGTTAGGTTCTTAGCATGAAAATTGGAGAACACTTTCTCCCAGTTTGGAGGTTGAGATTATATTTTTCTTTTCTTCTGTTGCCTTGAAAATTGTGTTATTAAAGAATTCATTTAAGAAAAACAAGAGTATTTGATTGAATTTTTCTGGAAACTCAAATGAGGTGGTGAATGATTGAATATCTCTGTTCAGCATTGCCAAACTACAGCCAGTGCTTGAACAGAGACTTATTCACACCTAGATACATCTGTGAGCGGTTTCATTTTCTTGTTAACCACCTTTCCAGCAACATCTAAGAAACCTATCTTTCATTTGTTCACCTGAAGGATGCTGCTTCCTGCTAAATTGGGCCCTGAATTCTCTAAGTGAAGCTGTTTGCAAATTCCTGCATATGTAGATTTTTCTGTTTGTTGTAGTTGTTGTTTAATGCTGGTGAGTCAGTTTTGACTCATAGCAACCCTGTATAAGGTAAATTTGAGCCACCACTCTTGCAGTTCAAACCTACCTTGAGGTCCATTGCTTATCCTACAGCACCACACCATAACTCCAGATTCTTCTCTAAGACCATTAAACATCTTTCCATGATATTCAGGTTTGGTGCAAATGTTCTACTCATTGCCCCAAGAGACAAGATGATTGCAGAAGCTAAGAGAGTCTTAATTTAATATATAAAATCAGAAGTGAGTGCTAATGGTATTTTGGGGTGACTAACTCCTGGGTGGTGCAAATGGTTGAGCACTTAGCTTCTGATTGAAAGGTTAAAAGTTCAAGTCTAGCCAGAAGTGCTTTGGAAGAAAGTCTTGGCAATATACCTCACAAAAATGAGCCATTGTCAACCCTATAGAGCACAGTTCTAGTCTGATGCACACAGGGTAGCCATGGGTCAGAATTGTGTTTTTTAAATGTTATTTTGACGGCCACTTGGCCCATTCACAACAAATGTCTTTCAGAAGTATAAAGCTGAACTTTCTTTGACTTGTTTTAAGAGAAAATGATTAATGATATTAAGCAAGTGGCTTGGGGTATACTAAGTGAAAAAATACTTCCTAGCTCTTTGAATTCTTTTGTTTTTTAGAGTGAAAAAGAATCATTTTCTCTATTCCCTACCCTTACTCAAACCTATATGATCTGGGTGATTAGAAAGGAAAATTGCCCTCCAGAGAGAGAATATGCCCTCAAAGCTATTTAAAAATTCTCTTGTTAAGTGCCATTGAGTCAGTTCTGACACATAGTAACCCAATATAAAGTTCTATTTTGTTGTTAGTGTTAAGTGCCTTCAAGTAGATTCCCACACATAGCAACCATGTATAATAGGGTTTCCGAGGAGTGGCTGGTGAGTTTCATCCACTGGCCTTGCAGGTCAAACCAACCTTGCAATCAAGTGCTTATCCTATGCACCACACCAGGACTCCTTAAAGTTCTATAGTGTCCTCATAAAATATAAGTTTATTCTAAAGGTGTATGAAGGAATCCTAGTACATTAAAAATTATGTTTAAATTTTTTAAGTTGTAAATTTTCTAACAGTCCACTACTTAGGGAACTGGTTATTTGGTTATTGTTGTTGTTGTAAATTGCTGTTGAATTGGTTCTGACTCATGGCAATCCTATGCACAACGGAGCTAAACACTGCCTGGTACCATGCCATCTTCATAATTGTTCCTATATTTGAACCCAGTGTTTCATCCACTGTGTCAGTCCCCATCTCGCTGAGAGTTTTCCTCTTTTTCACTGACCTGAAAGCTATTTAATCTTGGTCTGAGATTGGGAAAACCCAAATCCCTAAATGCTTTTCAGATACAAGACTTCTGTGTTTACTAGATGTTTGTTGTCTCTGATTTGAGACATTTTCCATCAAGATAAATTATAATCAATGTTTAAAATGCTTTGTGTTAGAGACAAAATATTAAAAACTAGCTAGGGTTGAAAGTAAAATGCTTTCATTTTTATTAGAAACTTTTCATTTTGCTGCTTGATCGAGGGGTTGGTGTAATATACCTTTAGGTGACACTCTGCATCATGCTATTTTGTCTGAGAAATATTTTCAATTTAGTAGAATGCAAATGAACATCACCACCCATTTAGGGAAGTGTTCTTGAATATAGACATTTAATTTCATAGAGATCGACTAGACGTAAAACCCAACTTTATAAAAATAAAACAAAACAGTGTGATAAATGATAAAACACGCTGCTAGAAAGCAACCCAACACTCTCCAGTCAATTTGTCAGTTTGTCATAACTCTGGTGGCTTGTATGTTGCTGTGATTCTGGAAGTGATGCCACCCAGTATTTAAAATGCCAGCACAGTTCACCCATCATCAGCAGGTTTCAGCCGAGCTTCCAGATTAAGACAGATTGGGAAGGAGAGACAAAATACTTCTGAATGTTTAGCCACTGAAAACCTTTTGGATACCAGTGGCACACTGTCAGATTACGCCTGCATATTGAATACTGAAACATGATGAATAGCATAGAACTATTTCAGATACAGGGCTGGAAGATGATTCCCTCAGGTTGGAAGGCACTCAAAATACACGTAGGAAAGAGCTGCCTCCTCAAAGTTGAGTAGACGATGATGATGTGAATAGAGTAAAGCTTTCAGGAGTTTTATTTGGTGATGGGGCACAATTCAAAATGAGGAGAAACTACTGTAAACATCCATTAAAAAGCAGAACATGGAATATATAAAGAATGAATCAAGAACAATTAGAAGTTGTCACAACTGAAATGAAATGCATAAAGATTGATACCCTAGGCATTACTGGGCTGAAATGGACTGGTGGTGCCCATTTTGATTCTGAAAATCATATGGTTTAGCAAGTAAGGAATGACAAATTGAAGAGGAATGGTATGAAGTTTATTGGCAAAAAGAACATTTCAAAATCTATCATGAACTATAATGCCATCTGTGATAGGATAACATATATAAGCCTACATGGAAGACCAGTTAATACCAATTTTAGTCCGATGTACAGAGCAACCACTGAAGTCAGTGCTGCCGAAATTGAAAAATTCTACCAACTTCTTCAGACTGAAATTGATCAAGCATGTATCAATAATTACTTGTGATTGGAATGCAAGATTGGAAACAGAGAAACGTCAGTAGTTGGAAAATGTGGGTTTGGTAATAGAAATGATGCTAGTGATCCCATGGATCGAATTTTGCAAAACCGATGACTTGTTCATTGTAAATACCTTTTTCAAAAGCAATAAAGGATGACTATACACATGGACCTCACCAGATGACATACACAGAAATAAAACTGAGTACATCTTTGGGAAGAAACCAGGGAAAAACTCCATATCATCTGTCAAAACAAGGCCAGGGGCAGACTGTGGAACAGATCATCAATTGTTCATATATACTTCAGTCTGAAACTGAAGAAAATTAAAACAAGTCCACGAGAGCCAAGATTTGACTTTGAGCTATCCCATCTGAATTTAGAAGTCATCTCAAAAACAGATTAGATGAATTAGATGCTAATGACCAAAGACCAGAAGACTTGTAGGTAGAATGACATCAAGAACATCATACAGGGAGAAAGCAAACGGTCATTAAGAAGACAGGAAAGAAAGAAAAGACCAAAATGGATGTCAGAACAGATTCTGAAACTTGCTTTCCAGTATAGAGATGCTAA